GTAGGATAGTATAATCCTTGTCCCGATGCCCTTTTGATATACTTCAACACTTTGTGTGCTGCATGGAGGTGTGGTATTTTGGATTTGTCCATGTATTGGCTCAGGAGCTTAACCGAATATGAGAGGTCTGGTCTTGTTATAGTCAGGTATAACAATCACCCTATTAACCTCCTGTAAATAGAGGGATCAGCAAGTGGATCACCCTCATCTTTTCTTAACTTGATATTCCGATCAAGGGGTATTTTGGAAGGTGCTGATCCTATGGTCCCTAAATCTTCCAAAATGTCCGAGGCATATTTTCTTTAACATATGTGTATCCCTTGCCCTGTCCTTGCTACTTCGATTCCTAGGAAATACTTCAATTTTCCAAGTCTTTGATTTTGAATTTTGCATCAAGTGCAGCCTTGAGCTCATTGATACTTTTCATACAGTTTCCTGCTAGGATAACATCATCAACATACATCAGAATTGCTATAAAGGAACTGTGTGTGACCTTAGTAAATAAGCTATAATCAGCCTTCGACTGGATGAATCTATGTTGAGTGATGAAGGCAGATAACTTGTCATACCACTGCCTTGAAGCTTGCTTCAGGCCGTATAGACTTTTGTGTAGTTTGCACACTTTTGATTTATCGTCGGTGCCATATCCAGGGGGCAGTTGCATATACACATCCTCATTTAAATCACCATGTAAAAATGCATTATTGACATCTAATTGGTATAAGAACCACCCATTTATGGCTGCAAGGGCTAATAAACTTCGAATTGTAACAACTTTCGACACAGGAGAAAAAGTTTCATGGTAATCCAAACCCTCCAGTTATGTATACCCCTTTGCAACCAACCTTGCCTTGTACCTTTCAATGCTTCCATCTGCCTTAAACTTGATTTTATATACTCGTTTGCATCCTATTGCTTCCTTATCAGGCGGCAGATCAACTATCACCCATGTGACATTTACCTCAAAGAGCTTTAATTTCTGTCCTCATTGCTTCACACCATTCAGGATGTTTAGTAGCTTCTTGGTAATGTTTTGGCTCGATTTGAGAAGTTATGGAGCTGACAAAGGCTCTATGAGGAATGGTTAGCCTTTTGTAACACACATTATTACTAAGGGGATAAGGCATGGTTCTTTAAATTCTGCACTTTATTTTCAGTGAACAAACTTTATACATTCTGTTTTTTATCTAATATCGTGTGTCCTGGCCTAACAACATTATTATATTTGGAATTTGTTTTTTTGGTTCAAACTCATTGATATATATATTTTTTTCATTTATAAAAACTCTTGAATGACGTAAATATGTTTGATTTTGCTATTCTTGTATCTGTCTTGGTCATTTTAGAAGGGATGACATGTTTGTCTCGCTTTTATCATTTATCATGGGTACTTTGACATTCATAATTTACAGCATTGTGATATCGTGTATGTTCAGTGTGTGTTCGTCTCCAAGATTTAACCTTCTATTCACCTGATTTGTAGGTTGTCAGAGGATACAGCCTGACACCCTGTTTGGCTAGAAGAATTTGAGTCTTCAATTTTGTGGAAGGGGCCCATTTCGACCATGGATCTTGATAGCACACTGGTAGTAAATAAATTATATTTACGTTGATTTAGATTTTCCAAATCCCTGGAGTTTAGTATAACAGGTTGACTAGCAAATGTTCTGACATCAAGAAATATCCTATTAGGTTGTTGTGGCACTTTGATTTGAAGAAGTTGAGACCGAAGGAAGTTAGCAGAGTAAAGATGAGCTTGGCTTGTGTGTTTGCTTTCATGGCAATTGGATGACCTGATAATCCCCAAGACTGGGATCATGGGATGGATCAAGTTCTGGTTGATGCGTGGTTAGGTTATCACTTTTGGTAATGATTTTCCCTTTCCTTCCCTGTCATCCTCAAAACATGTGCTCAACATTAGTATATAAGATAGAATGTTAAAGATATTAGGCAATTGAACAACAATAGTCCTGCCCAAGCACAGACCGACCCAATAAAATAGTCTTGTGGGAGGGGCAGAAATCTTACTTGGGGTACGGGATGGCAATTGCAGTAGGTAACCTGAATACTAGCTCTGGAAATTGTTGAACCCGACCTTGATCATCAACAAGATTTTGGTCCTTGGAATTGGCATAAATATGTCAATAACTTTCATACCTCATGGAAGATTTTAGAGAGGCACACTTGATAGTGAACAGGCCCAGTTCAATTTCTTATTAGTAAAAGGAATAAGATCAATATAGCGAGTTCTGACTTAACCTACCAAGTCAGTTCTGGATATTAGAGGTCCCAATATTAGCAGCTCCTTTCACATCGTGGTTTGATTGGGAAAAAGACTTCATTCAGACAACATGTTTTTATCTGAATCCTTTTCCCCTTTTTTTTTTCTGAATCTTTGGATTTAATTTATATTTTGTGAGCATTTTTTATACTATCCCTGTTTGATTTTATCCCATTATTGGCATAAATATGATGACTGGACATGCAACTAAGACATTTTTTTTGCTGTTTGGAATTTACAGATGAGTACTTTTATAATCGTCCATTATACGGCTCCTCACATACCCTTTATATCTTCTGATGAGTGGAATGCTGCCCTGGACCAGCTTAATGGCACAGTTCATTGTGATTATCCATGTTGGTAATATTTCACGTTTTCTGACTTGTGAAACTAGTAATAATAATCCATATATAGTAACAACTAACAATTATAAATAGCTTTGCACGCCTATCTTATGGTTCTTGTACGTATCTTTTCAAGTGTTTCCAGGATGAGGACCACACTCCTACGTTTTAATTTTAATCTTTGAATATCTGTTCTTTTCTATTTACATGCAATTTTTTTAATTTTTTTCCAACCTCCTGCCGCTCAATCTGCCACATCTTTATATGCACATGAAAAATAGTGATATTGTAATATATTGCGAATTTTCGAGATTTTAAGAGAATGTAGAATGAGGTGCTAGTCCACGAGAAGAGATCCTTTTGATTTGTTCGCCGAAACATGGTGCAAAAATTTAGAGTAATTCTATTTAGCCCTACTGAGTTATAACTTCAGCCTATGTTGGCGCTAATGTGACGTTAAATGATAAGTACAATTAAATGAGTAATTTAATTTCATCTTTCATTTAGTCTATAACCTAACACCACATTAGCGTCACATAGACTGGAGTTATAACCTCAGTAGAATTAAATAGCATTATTCAAAAATTTATAAAGTACTGTAGCCTGTTCAAAGTAATGATACCAATCAATTTTTGCTTGTAAATAATGAATTCTCTTTTTCTCTTGACAGGATAGAGATTTTTTGTGACGACATCAATATTCACGTACCCCATCACATTTCACACCGAATACGAAGCTATAATTTGCTGGCAGCTCATAATCTCTCCAAGAAAACTCGGGAAAGGTAGGATCGATTTATGCTCTATTTATTTATAACAATTCTACAGCTATCAGATGCTCATGTTTTGTTATTTTAAGTTATTATTCAGACCTTTCAATTTGTATATACTGATCCTCTTTTCTATCTATTTGCTCACAATGCTGCTACAGTAAATGAACGAGGCTACATGGAACTGGCGTTTGATGAAGACAAGATTGACCATTTGCCATGTTTATGAAGCCCCAAAGATTCACAACCAATCACATTCCTTAATAAAGTCATGCCAGATTATACTTGATTTTATTGATGTGCCTTTAAGTGGTCCACAACCATTTGGTATATAGACTTTCTCCTTTCTTGGTCAAATTTTACTTTATATTATATGTTTGAACATTATTTTAGAATTACTTATCATAGAGGAAAGTTCTTTGAAGTTTAATACACGTTGTCCATGACTTTGCTTTTCACAAGTCTTCTCCCGCGTAGTCTTAAAAAATCAAAATTAATATAATTTGAATTCGTAGTTTAGTTATGGTTGATGACTTTCTCTCCACTGTTCAGAATCTTATATACGTGTCTGTTATTTAATGATAGCATATAATTTATTTATTTATCTACATTATGACATTATTGTATCACTGGTTTGTTAAATAATCCTTGGTTTCTGCTATTAGTTCTCATTAGTTGTGCAAATTGCTGGTCAGAGTCAAAATTGTATGAATTGTATATTCTCTGTAGGGCTAGTTAAGTAGGGATTTGCTCCCACTTTAGAAGTTTGAACATAATTTAATGGAATGCAGGCCATAAAAAATTGAACCTTGTAAGAAAATAAAGATAAAGACAACTAGTTAGCATTATTAAAATGATCAAAGATGGAGGAACCTTTAAGAAAAGGGTGCCGGCTGCAGATTTCCTGTGCAGGCTGCAACTAAAAGAAGAGTCCTGATATTATTGTTGTGAGTGCATCATAAACAGTTCCACTGGAAAAGATGATCTCTAGATGACCTTTTTTATGGTCGTGTTTAGTACGAACCAATACTGCATGCAAACATGCACTTTAGGTCACTCATTTCCACCAAGCCTGAGCCAAACACAGCTCGAGCTGACTGGTATTGAACTGGATGGAAGCAAAAGCAAAATTCACCTACTTTGCCTCAATGAAGTGCTTCAATTTTGTTTTTTTAACTGCTCACATGCTTAGGACATCTTTAAGGCTGGCATTCTCTTTGTGGAATCTGGAATCTCATGCAAAGGGGTAAAGTCATGTACAACCAGTACATGGATAAGAATCATCTTTGTAAAGTGAAGGTCAAAAGAAGATTGTTTATGAGGATTTGTTGAAAAAAAAAAAAAAAGGCTTGTCAATGACTCTATTCAGTTGTCTCGAGAAGAATCAACAGAATGATATCAGATTGTGTCCATACAAAATATGAGCAAAGGATATTTCAAGATGTGGTTGATAAGCAATCATTCACTTTCTCTGTCATAATGAATCTACAGATAAATTCTAGATAACACTCATTTTCTTCTATAACCTACAAATCATGAACTGTAGTTTCATCACCTAATGTTTAAAGAAAGAAATGGTAACTATTCAGACAAAGTGAATACTAAGTCACATAATAATCGGTGGAGGTCTAGCCTCCCATATATCGAAAACATTTTCCTCGCTGTGTAGAGAGAAGAGTCTATCGCCTCCAATTGAAAAATCACAAATGGAACCACCATAACTGTTTCGTAGCCTTGATGTCAATACCCAATCAGGACCACCAAACACTGAAATACTATCATTCATTGACGAAAATAGCTGCCCTTCGTGCAATGCCAGTTTAGGATAACATGGTTCATCGGGCATTTTCCCCTTCATTAGCCGACTTCTTGAGCTCCACCTTACACTCCCAGCAGCAAACCTGAAATCCATAAACCCCAAATCTTCGTATTCATTAACTACACATATAGAATTGGTGTCCTCCATAGCTATTGCATCCCTAACCCTTCGCTCATCCGTTATCGGAGCCCCAATATCAGACCACGACCAAACCATGCTTTTATCCCTGAAATCCAACAAACTGACGTAACAATTATCCTTCCTTGGAAATAAAGTTGCAACTAGCAAACAATTAGTACCATGTAGCCATTGTAGTCTGTCAGCATCACCAAGTGACCATCCCGGTGGCTCGTAGAAAAAATCTATCTGCTTTCCAGTTACTTGATCCCAAGCACCAATACCATACTCATGGCTCCTACCTTTACAACTAGAAAACAACTTATAATCTGAACTAAGACTCAATGCACCAGCTGTGTAACTTTTGACCTGATTTTCATGTGTTACATGAAATTTGTACCTTAATTCTCCTGTTGATGCACTGAACAACCCCATGCCTCCCTCTCCTCGGCCTAATCGTTCACAAGCACTTATCACAATGCTTTTCGAATCAACCCAAATTGCATCATTCACCCTCTGGTAATCAAGAGTGATAGGAGAATGCTCTTCTAGCATCCAATCGTATACATGTACCATGCTTCCATGAGCTACACAACAGCCACCATCTGGGCCGGCCCGAATGGCGGTGCCATCACCAGGCGCCTGGCCGGTTATGGACTGAGTCAAATGTAGCTTATTTCCATCAAATGGGCCCCACTTGGCCGATCTAACATGGTCTGAGAGGCCATAAAACAGGGCCTCCCTATATAGCAATTTTTCAGGAATGTTTGGGGGTACATGAAGCTCCCCTAACCTGAGGAGGTCAAGGAGGACTGCAAAGCAATCCGGGTTGCGATCAATGAAGTGCTCAGTGGTTGCGGTGGCACTCGGTTGAAGGTCCCAATTGCCATCAAACATAGCTCCAAACAAGGAATTCCGTCCCGCGTTGGCGAGGGTTGTGGCCGTGGTCTCGAAGATTCTCCCACCAACATTGAACCTCACCATATCCTTTTGAATTCCCATTAATAAATTGGAACAAGTAAAATGAGAATTTGAAGGTGAAATAACAGAAGAATTGTTATGTGAAGTTGAGATCTTTCTCCTAAAACCCTCAAAATATATAGGAAATTCGAAGGATTTCGAGAAGACAACTGATGATAAATGTCAAAAGAGAGAATTTTGGAGTGGCTGATTTTGGAAGTAAACTCAGAGATTATATTTCTGAGTTTGAAAAGAAATCAGAAGACTTAGGGAAAACTGAAAATACCTAGAAATCGGAAATATTGCTGAAAATTTCACCACAGAAGATTAGGAGCATCACAACAGAATTTGAAACCAGCGGTGGGTACATAAAGAGTTAACAGAGGATTAAAAGAATAAATATATAGTCATATAGATATAAATACAGACCTTGAAAACTTATATTCTCGAAGAAAACTGGCCAAAATTTGAGCAATTTCGATTCAATTCCATCATAGATCACAGGAAAAACAGGGGAAATTGACCAGACGCGTATAACTGTGCAAGAAAAAAAAATCTGTTAAGCAGCTTCTGAAAATTGGATCATTTCAAAGTTGGGTTTTCAATCATTAGAAGAGGAATAGGAAAATTTGGAGCTCTGTATTTCAAAAAATTGACTATCTCCTCACTTCGCTGTTTAATGTTTGTCTTTCCGGTCTGAACATAACTAATCTTGAAGCATTTATAAAATCAACATGTCTGCAAATGGGACCCAACCTTAGAATGTGCCTTTCTTTAGTTTTGGATCGTACGATTTATCAAGAATTTAATCAAACGGTCGAAGGCATTAGAGTGCACGTACACTCTAGGGTGGGGCCGGGGGGGGGGGGGGGGGGACATCAATAAATAATTGACACATTATTTTACATTAAAGTGTCACCTAATTTTAAGCACGAGTGACGGTGAGAAAAAAGTTGAATATGTTAATTTAAAATGATATGTCAATCGTTCATTGGATGAACAGTAGATCTCAACTCAAATCGGGTGGGGTCGGTGTTTACATTTCTCGATGAATTTTTTAATTTTTTGGGATGGAACAATATATTGGAATTAGAGATTTTGAGAAGACATCATAATAATTTTAAGAAGAAAAATAATATTTGGTATTATTTCAAATCAAGTTGATTAATTAGCACTCTAATTTGGTGTACATAAAGTAAAGGGGTGACACGTTCTACTAGCACAATTATTGCTCGATTTTCCATTTTTGCATAGTTTTCGATTTGGAAACTTGGATTAATGACATAAAGATTGGCACGAGAATTCTTGATTCGACTTGTTTGGATATATATAGAGTAACGAATATGAACCACATGAACGTATTAGACAAATTGGATTCTTTCAATCTTCGAATTTTGTAACAAGAAACAAAAATGATTGGCGAAATATCGTTGTCCTTATTTTTTAGTATTTGGCTAATTGACGAGGTTGCTTTTGCTTCCTCTTATGTCATTTCATGGTCCATTGGACCTACTTTGCTTTTTAAGGAATTTTTTTTATGAAAGGTTGAGAATATTTGTCGTTATATTTAGTCAATGTTAACCGCTGTTATTTCAAAATTCTTTAATTCTCATTTTTAGTTTTAACTGCACAATTATTTTGCACGTAAATCATAAAATTTTTCAACTTTTTAATCACACATTCTCCAAAAAAATCACTATTCAAAACTTCATTTTCTCAAAATAATGACAGTCGAGAACTTAATTAAGGGTGGTGAAAACAAATTAATAATAATTACAACTTCCAAGAGAGTGGTTTGGGATTACGATGGAGTAACAAGAAAAAAGGACTTCAATTTCACGTAATCATCATAAAAATAATTATCTTTGACACAAAGCAACCAAACAAACGTATTTAGAAAAACGCTTATTCTACGTAATTATTTACATAATATTTTACATAATGATGTGATGTCAAAATAAAAATAGGAAAGTTATTTGATTGATGAAATTTTGATCCAATTAAATATCGATACATCATCTGTTGGTAAATCATCTATTGATTGATGAGATTTTGATTCGATTAAATCTCGTCAAATATCTGTTAGTAAACAAATATGTAAGTGGTGATGTACATGTAACACAACCGATTAATTAACGTGACAATAATTATGACTTCATCTAATGCTATGCCCCGCTGAGTCGCTGACTATTCCAAATTGCACGTAATAATGAAATGATTTAGACACTTTCAACTTAAGAAAATTGTATTGTATTTGCTACACTGATGAAAATTTTATTTACATGTTTTGTGGAATCACATATACTATCCACTTATTTATATCTATTTAAAATTTAGATCGATATAAANATATCTATTTAAAATTTAGATCGATTATAAATAATTTTTAACCTTGTCATTACCGTTATCAAATATATGCCTAGATATATATAAAAGAAAAACTAGGGCCATCGAAGTCATGAATCATTATTCAAAATAAAATTAAGTTGTTGGCGACAAATAATAACTCAATTATGAGCGAATTAAAAAATTTATTTCAAAATTATAATCTTCATAATTATTGTAGAAATATGTTTTACTTTCTAAAAATCTTTCATGAATTTTTAACTTATTTGACATCATTTTATACTTCTCTAATTTTAGTTTTAACTTAACTTCTAATTAACCATGTGTAATGTTAGTTATGGTACCATACTATCATTAGACACTTCCAAAAGACCATAAACACAGGACACTCTATGTTACTCCTCTTCTAACAAGGCTCCGACTCATCACCAATATGGAAGCCAGCTAAGCAAATTAACAAGCTCACACTCCACATCATCTTCCTAGCTTGTCGAGTTGACTTGTAGAGGTTGAGCTCTGCAGCCTAGGAGAGATACCACGTTTGTTGCAAGAAGAGAGTTAGGGGCAGCGAGCCTCTTCTTCTTAAATGGAAAGCATCTTCCACCCCATTTCTTCCAAAAGATCTTTTGCACAATGATCTTTTCAAGATAAAATCTTTATACGATTGACGGATTTATATCTAAGAGCTCGACTATCAGAAGAGCCAAGTTGTCTTTTGATCCAACGGTCACTGTTCCACTTCTTTCAATATAAAAGTTTACACTTGGGTCATTTTGAAGGTAATGCAATTTCACACACACACACACACTCTCTCTCCCTCTCTCTCTCTCTCTCTCTCTCTCATCATACATACACATCTTGTGGATCACGTCTCTAGCACGTCCCACACTCAATATATATATTTCTCATCAACTGACTTGACCAATGGAGTGATCGAAGTCGTGTCTCCCTCCATCGGAGAAGGCCATAGATGACTAACGATTTGTTAGTTATGGTACCATACTATCATTAGGGGTGGCAAAGGGCTGAGCCGAGCCGACTTGGTCCTTACTCGCACGAGTCGAGAAGTCGCTAGGCTCGTTTGTCAAGTGCGAGCTCAGCTCGGCCCACGAGCGGGGCGCTCATGGGCTGAGCCTAGCTTTAGCTATTTTTTTTTTTTGCCTTTTACTATATTTTTTCTAAACCTAAAATATATACACACACACACACATTTGGTCATTTTCTAAACATTTTTTTAAATATACATTTTTTAAAACATTTTTCTTTTTTTAAACTAATAATTAAAAAAAAAAAAAAACCATCCTCCTTTATCTGAGTTTGGGACCGACTACTTCAATT